ATAGTAATAATAAATGATGTGGATATTGTGCTCAGGATGTCCTAATAAACGAACAAAACGTCAACAGTAATGAGAAATTAATTTTTGATAGTCAAATTATGTCTGTCTTGACATTTTTACTTCAGATTTCGCCGTACTGCCCAAAATGGTCATGCAACTCCTCTGGAAACGGAAAAAATGTAATCCAGTGTGAAGAAAAAAGACGCTCGATTTGGAATGGAAAAAAACTTCAGGATTGGTAATGTCCATGATACTCAGTAGCAGAACTGACAATGAAAATTATCATGTGAATGTAATATTACGAAAAAATAATCATAATTGGGCTGAAAGACTTCGGTCAATGGCCTTTTGGGGTATATCCCTAATAAAGATGTTCTCTCTCTCTCTCTAATCATAATTGTTGTTAGGACCAAGAGGAATTTAATAAGTTGTTTTGTTATCTCAACCCCCAAAAACTATAAATAAAGTGTTTGTCTTTCCGTTTATGCTCTCGATTTCGCCGTACTGCCCGAAATGGTCGCGCAATTCCTCTGGAAAATGAAAGCAGGATTTCAGAGTGTCCACTAAAAACTCTTGATTGGTAATTGATGAGAGAAATCTTCAGAATTGGAAATATCGTCAATGATACTCAGTAGCAGAACCGACAATGAAAATCATCATGTAAATGCAATTTTTTTTTTTTCAATATTGAATCGCATTGGTTAGTTAGGATTGTTAGGAATGATGAATGTTGTGGATATTGTGCTGAGGATGTCCTAATAAACGAACAAAACGTCAACAGTGAGGACATTTTTTTTTTAGTCAAATTATATGTTGGTCTTGACATTTTTAATTTAGATTTCGCCGTACTGCCCGAAATGGTCGCGCAATTCCTCTGGAAAATGAATGCATGAATTCAGAAAGTGTCCAATAAAAACTCTCGATTGGGAATTGATGTGCGAAATTTTCAGGATTGGAAATATCGTCAGATACTCAGAAAACTCCTTCATCCATAGAACGGCTAGGCTCTGGAATTCATTGCCTGTGGAAGTATTCCCAACAACATATAATATCCAAAAATTCAAAAAAAATTCCAATACCTACCTCTTGTCCCTATCCTTCCTAGGAACGCACGATGTTCTTTGAACATTATAGGGATTCCCTTTCGTGCGCTCCAATCGATAAAAAAAAAAGCAGGACTGACAAAGAAAAACATCATGTAAATGCAGATACAATTTTTTTTTCAAAATTGAATGGCATTGGTTAGTTTGGTTTGTTAGGAATAATGTTAGGAATAATAAATGATTTGGATATTCTGCTGATGATGTCCTAATAAACAAACAAAACGTCAGCAGTAATGAGAAATTATTTTTTGAGTCAAATTAAAAGTATCTTGACATTTCAACTTTAGATTTCGCCATGCTGCCCGAACTGGTCATGCAAATCCTCTGGAAACGAAATGCGGGAATTTAGGCAGTTTCCAGATTTGGGAAGATAGGGAATTGATGGAATAAAACTTCAGAATTGGAAATACCGTCAATGACACTCTGTAGAAGAACTGACAATGAAAATCATCATGTAAATGTAAGATATTATAAACAAATCTAATATTGAAGGAATAATTAAATTATAGTTGATGTTGACCTAGTAGAAAGCCTTATGTGTCTGATGTGAACAGTAATAGGAATTCATTTTTCTGCAGTTGTATTGTCTCTGGGGACAAAATACAGGATTCAAGGTGCAATGTAATGAAAATTAAACACCTAACATTTTTGACTAATTAAAAAGCTGTATTTTGTATAATTACCATAGCAACTGAACAAATTTCCAGAAACTTTTTGTTCCTCTTAGGGATAAGGAGCATCAGATTACACTAGAAATATTTTGGCAGTTATTAGTTAAATGATATATTCAGTTAACTTCAGAGTTGAGTCAAGAAGAATGGTTTGAACTACCACCAGCTGCCTTATTATTATTATGCATAACTAAAGTGCTTCAATTAAAATCATTTTTTTCTTGAGCGTGAATATTCACAATTTCCAACATATCCACTCCCCAGATACAATTGAATTTAGGCACTTCTGTGAAAATACTAGGTTAGATTCAGAATATTGTTGAAATTAAGGCCTCAACAAAATTTTCCATAGTACTATTCTGTTTGTTATTTCAAATGATTTGTTTTTGTTGACAACACTAGTGAAAACAATTATATCAATGTTTCAGTGATGACTGGCACCACCTTCAGGACTATCACTAAACAAATTTATAAATTTAGTTAATAATTATTATGTATTTTTGGATGGCAAATCAATTCAGAAAAGTGAAATCAATGAGTTTATTCAAGAAAAATAGGAAACTTCAACATTATTGATTTTGATAGTGATTACCTACTCAGTTTTCATAATATCCCTTGAGTTAGTTGTGTATGAAGATTTATTCAAAGGTGCTGAGAAATACACAAACTTTCAAGAACAATTTTTCCCAGATCAATTAAAAATGCTTTCTGAATTAGAAAACTGATTGATAACTATACAGGGTGAGTCATAACTATTGGGACACAGGCTAAGAGGGAATTGTTTGGACCAAAATATGGTGGTAGGACCCAATATGCCTGAAGGCTGGTTTATAGAAAATACAAAAAAAAAAAAAGATTGTTTTTTTTTTAATCAACCCTTTTTCCATATTTTATTCTTGTTTGATAATGTATCATGATTATTTATAATTACTTTGATAATTTCCATAATAAAAAAATAATCTTCATACATGTGAATGAGATAAATTTTGAAATATATAATTATGTAACTAATAGTTAAATAAAGCATATTTGGTCACCTTTGGTCCTTAGTCTCTGTCCCGATAGTTATGACTCACCCTGTATATCAGTAATTCATTAACACTCATTGATATATATGTAGTATTTTCAGACACAATGAGGAAATCAGAACAGTTTAAGAGAAGAATTTGAATAAAATGTGATAGGTAGGTATTTTTAAAAAATCTTTTGAGAACCAATAGACTAATGGATATCAAGATATTCATAAAATTTCATCAGAAAAATCTTCAATAAGAGAGCATAGGATTCCAATGTTTTTTTCATTAACAGAATTCCATAGTCTTTCCATGATTCTTGAATGACTTATGGAATATAGGAAAAAATAATAATAAATACTCATGTTCAGGAAAAACTCTCCAAACAACAGATATTGAATCACAAGACATGAAGGTTTCAACAATGAGAACATTTCAATAAAACATGTTTCCAGGCCATTTCTACTCTAAATTAGTTCAATAGTTCAAAATGCATTGAAACACTAAAGACAAATTGGCAACAATATACAAATGAAAATATTACTCACTTTCAGTTGTTTCCCAGTTCATTCCACCAACGAATAATTTCCTGCAATAAAAAAATGTTTTAAGCCCTTTGAGAACATTTTGATAGCTCCTAAGCAATTATTCCCGTTTTGATTTGTAATTGCTTAAAAATTTACAAACAAAAATAAGTATAGGTACAATAAATGTAATGAAAACATGGTAACTGCAAATATTAAATCCAAGTTCAATCAAATGGATCAGCAATCTCAAAGTAATCTGAAAGTTGAAATTTGAGCAGAAATCTGTTGACAATAATCTAGAGCAAGTTTGCATCTTAATTATATGGAAATGGAACATGATTGATTTGTTCAAGCTGAAGTGGCTTTACTATCGTTTTGATAGGCAGAAGATTTGCCCAAGGATAAATACCATGGGTCCTAGGGCTCCCTGTCGCTCCTGGCCGTCCCACATCTTCCATTTCAGCCACCTGGAGAAAATGAACCATGTTTAAATCGGGCATGAAAGATCCTAAAATCCTGGCATCCTACCACCGTTTTACCCAAATTTGACTTAGGAATGAACAATCAAGGCCCAATTGATTCAAGCTGATTGAGAAACTTAACTGAATTTTTATCCACTGAAAGGTAAGCATCATAAAACTACTGCTGAAAATCAAGAGAAAAAACTTGCTGGAATAAGAGAAACTTGATACTTGGCCAAAAAGTCGAACTGCAATTTCAAATCGCGCCAAACTGAGTCTGACTGAGTGATCCGCCATTTTCTTCCAGCAACAAACGCAAAATCTAGATTTCGATGAAATTGGAAATATCACAATATGAGTACAGCTATAAGAAAATACATTATAACCAACTAAACTTATGTACTAAACATTACAAATAAAATATTAACAACAAGAAAATACTAGTATAATCCAAGATGTTTACAGATTTTGATGAATAGACCGGCAGCAGAGTTCAAGCGTTCAAGGTTCAACATCAAAATTCATTGCTAAACAAAAAATACAATACGAAAAAACTAGAGCCAAATACGATGACAAACTGTAATGCAAGTGAATGCTATGAATAATATGATTTATGTATTTTTTTCAAAGTTCTTACCTATCGTCATCACGCCCAGGGGTTTCGGCGCTTCCTCTGTCTGCCGCGCTAGCATCTCCTGAACCATTTTCTTGTCCATTTTGGGCCTGTTCTTCGGTTATATCATTTGAAAAGTCTTGCTGGCCGTTCTCCATTTCAGTCTTTATATTTTGCACTATTAACTCGATAAATAAACTATGTTTTTCTCTTATAAACTACGAGAACTCAACGGAGTGACGCGTTCAAGTCGAAGCACAGAAGATAAAGAGAAAGATGGAGGGTGACGCCGACCAAGAAGCGGAGATGAGCTGCCCCCACTACGTCATAACCGGCGTTACCTAAACTACCAATGAAAATGCTCCATTTGCCAGTAAGTGGCGCGGGAGAAAACTGTACAAAAATAATATGTCCGCGTGACAGCAAAAACTAGTGCTCTGAAAGAGGATAGCATGATAAACGTAAGTCTGCATCCTTGGCGTTGGTAAGAAAAATTACTACATTATCGACCGCTGTTGTTGGCGGTCTCCGCGATGACTGTCACTTTCCCAATCAGAGGCGTACGGTTAGGGCTAGTGAAGGCTTAGGTTAGGTTGAAATAATAATTGTTAATTATTATGTTATTGATATAATTTCTATAATTGAAATCATTTTGGAGTGTTCTAAAGGTCTAAGGATATGTTACGTGCTCATGAATAGATCGTATCCAATAACCATTCTTCTAAACTAGATTCTCCTTTATAGTTTGAATAATTTTCTGAAAAAAACAAAAAATAAATAGTAGTTTAATGTTATGCATTTTGTGTATATTTGTGTTTATACCTATCATCATATTCAGTTTAATGCAACAATGAATGAAATCCTGCATTTCCATCCCACCTTCACCATTTCCAAATCTGATCAAGAGCATGTCAATAATACGATTAGTCACTTGTATATTCACTGATCTGAGAGCTTCACGAAGTTCGCTAGCCGATATGCAGTTGCTGTTATCAAAATCAAAAGTACCGAAAGCACCCTAAAAATAAAATGATAGCGTAGGATTGAGAACATTTGTTTCATGCACATTTTTCTACCCTCCAGAATAGCAGTTGCTCCCATAGGTGAAAAAATTCGTGGATATTCAAAGTTCCAGATCGATCGGAATCAACAAGTGCCACCATACTACGGCAGATTTCACGAGAAAACGCTGAAAAAGATATTTCCAATATTGATAATGAAATACCGATACAATTGATAAGTATACTATTTCTTGAATGATAAACCTACTTGTACCACTCTTTTGCAGTATAGAATGTAATTCTTTCCAAGATATCTCTTCGTTTTTTTCGTCAGCGTGATTCTTGAAGATCTCTCTAATCGGATTATCAAGAGTTGAACTATCCACGTGATCTCTTTCTAATGACTGAAAAAAGTAATCAAATATGAGTATGAGTATGAGCATGAGCCCAGGGCCTCCAGACACAACGTTTTTTCTAGAAGTACAAAATGTGTGTACGTAATACTTATAGTGAATGTCAGCATACGAGCTAAATTGGTTAGACGGCCAATTCACAACAACAAAACAATCGATGAAACTGTTATGTTCTGAGAACGTTCTAAAATTGTTCTTAGGTATCAATCATCCAGTTGCCCCCTTAGCAACCCTTAGAAGTCTTCGAGAGGCTTGTGCGAGCAAGGAATGACGGGGGCCTTACCTCTTAACGTGTGATCCCAAACACTTTCTTAGGCCATCAGAAAAATTCTAAAAAAGTTACGGATAATTTGTCTATAAAGATATTTTTCTTGAAAAAAATGTATAAGTAATAGCTATTAATATATATGTTGTCTGCGTCAGTGAAGAATATTGACCTCTTGCTATGACGAAATATTTCTAGAATAATAATAAAGCTATCTATATCACTGTCATATGCATTCTGAAATATCCTTAGATTTTTTTTTCGATCAGTTTATGAGGAAGAATCGGAGAGCTGCTTTCAGTCAGCTAGTTATCAATCAGTGTCAGAGAGACACTCGTATACCGCATGTTGTAAATCGTTTTTCAGAAATGGTAGTGATAAGTTTGTAATGAATTAGTGTTCCGCCGCCTGCAAGTTGAATAAATCCTGTCGAAATAAATAAAGTTAAATTTTTTTTTGAGCTCCAAAGCGTCTGGTGGAAGGTATACGGCCGGCATAAAGTGCCTGGAAGTGTTCAATATCATTTTGTAATAATATCTTGGGGAACATTTATATATAGAAAGCAATCATTAGAATTTGAGTAAAAATAGCCCTATTTTTGTCAACCTTTCCACCCTGGTATCTGTGAATCGGTCTAATCAACTTAGCTCGTATGCTGGTATTCACTGTACATGTAAACCCTACTTGAAGCCCCACATTTTGTTCTTTAGAAAATAAGTCATGTCTGGAAGCCCTGGGCTCTTATTTAGTCCAATATATCAATTATAATCCTGAAGATTCGTGATAGATAGGTACTCAAATCGAGGTAGTGTAATACCAACCATATCGGGTTCTATCAGCTTCACCTCTTCATCGTTCTCTCTGAAATGATGAACAACAATCAAAATGTTATGTATAGGTATTCACCGATAGAGTGAAAATGTACGAAAAAAATAATAAACTTACTCCACATCAATGTGAACACTGGAAAATATCCTCAGCAAAAACTCACAGCTAGAGCTTGAGTTTTCTGCAAATGGAACAATGCAATAAATTCCATTGCTCAAATCCAAATGACCAGTGATTTGCTTCACACATTGAATACGGGATACAAATATTCTATTTTTCAGCGAATCCTGACTCAATAATTGCTTTTTCTCAGGAATTTCTTCCAACTGAAAGTTACATGTTATAAAGTATAGCATAGTCTCAATGTAATTACTTGAATATACCGAGAATATGGCGAATCCAATGGTGAGCGCTGGTTGATTATTTTGAATTCTCCGGTTTTTCTGCATCAATCCAATGAGAAGTCTGTGAACTTTAGATGTATCCTCATCATTCAATGAGAGTATGTACTGCGGATTCTTGAGAAAATCTACAAAACGAATCAGACTGATTATTTCACTAGCCGTCTTTCAATTCTGATCGTTCTATCAGCGTTGGTGTTCTCAATGATATAATAGCAGGGGTGCCAGTAGCATATTCCTGCGACTTTTGGTATTCCAAACTATTGTCTAGCCATTGTCGATCTGAATGAAAACCTAGTAGGCGACCTAGTGCGAGGAGATATAATAAGCTACTGCCTACTAACTACCTAACTACGTTGTCATTCAGAACGACAATGGTCTAGCAAATATCACTTCGTTCTAAATATCTTCTCATTATTTTGTCTTTTATTGTTGACTCAATTGTGTTGCCGTATGGCTACAAGATTTCGTGTACAACAAAGCGACATAGCTCTCTCGACTATTCAAAACATCGTGATATGACTGTTGAAAATCAAAATTGATGTCATATATAAATTAGTGACCTTCATTATCTGGTAGTCCTCCTGAGCTAACTTGAGCAACCCAAGCTCCCTCTAGCAGATGCTTTTCCCAGGAAGTCGTAACATCCTGTGATCTCTTGTAAATATCTAGATCCATATGGCAGAACTCTAGTAAAGTGTAATCCTCAATGAATTGTTCGAATTGCATCCAAAATTCACCGTCTTCTTTTCGTGATAGTAGCTCTTGTCTTTTAGTATCTTGTAGGTAATCCCACATTTTGGAACTGGAATAATGTGAGTACAAGTAAGCTATGAAGTTAATAAGAGTTCTAGAATAATGTGAGCTCACTAATCACTCCAATCGCCGTTCCATTCTCCTCGGCCCCATGGATTTCTTATTCTGAGTAATTTGTACAACTCCCCGAACATTGTTTTCTCCTCTACTATATCAGTTATACTGTATGCATGTCCTGCATACAAACCATCATCTCTTTTTTTCTCAATTTCTCCGGAACCCTGTGATTGATATTATTTGAAATCCCGTTCAACCTTCCTAACGAGTCACTTATGCATTAAAGTGGCGGGATACGCATGGATCCGTTTTGCCCAAACACATGCATAGGCGATTCCTATAGACCAATTAGTGTGGACCACAGATGTGTGGACTAAATCCTAAAAGAATATTCTCAGAATCGTGATTGGGTTTTCTCAATTCAGAATTCATTTCCACGGCCTGTATGTGATGAAGATCATAATACTATCAATGAGTTCTTTCTTCATAAACTACTTATGATTTTCAAGTATTACCTATGTTTGTTAATCTGTGCAATGCTGCAATGCACTTTGTTGAGCGTTTGAATTCCACGCCTCCGATCCTGGTTCAATTCTTTCGACGGTTGGCTCTCAAGGGATTTTCCGAGAACCAAATCGCTCTGATTCGTCTTTTATCTCACCCCTTACATATGTTTGGGCAAAACGAATTCATGCCCTGTGCGCGGGAAACTGGCAAGGCCATTAAAGCTTGATTTTCATGACAACGTTTTGCGTCATGCTTCTTGCGTTGCCTCGTTCTGATTGGCTATTTTGACTGACGCATAATTTCGTAGGAATGAAGTTAAAAATATTCAACTTCTTTGCGTCGAACTCGAGAAAGCGAGAAATGTGGGATAGAGAACCTCTACTTCTGTAGGTTATGTTTTCGTTTTAGGTTTTCCCAATCACCCAAAACAGGAAGAGCACAGATTTAAGAAAACTTGAATTCAATGAAATTCATACTATTCACACAGTGTACTTACTTAGGTTTTCAATGGTTTATTGAGATATGGAAAAGTGAGTGACTACTATAGAATTCCATTGAACCTATATTAAAATCAGGGAATACCTATTAGTCAACCAAAATACTACAGATTGTTTTTTAAACAAAAACTAATGTATACTGTTTTTAGTTTTATATGTGAGGAATGCAGGGAGCCCTCAACAGAGGTAGGTAGGTGAAGAAGTAGCCTCAAAAGAAGAGTTATTGATTCAACTCGCGAATAAAATTAGTAATTTTCTCCTTCGCCAATTTTGTTCATCCATTTCATATGTGAAAAATGAATATTTTAACACTGTAGGTGTCAAATTATTACTACTTTCGGCAATAATTATTGAAAACCTACAATAAATTTCAAATATTTGATTCAAAATGCATTCAAATTCAACTTGTCAAAATCTGGAAGCGGACGCATGTATGAAAATTATAACAAATTTCATCGAATTTGCGTCATTTGAATTAGCCAATTAGAACGAGGCAACGCAAGACGCACGACGCAAAACGTTGTCATGAAAACAAAGCTTTAAGGGTCAATCTTATATTCAAAAGCAGAGGCGGGTACATGCGGGTACAGCAAGAATAGCAAGGTCGACTTCACAGTAATTCACAAATATTACAAATGCAGAGGCGTAGCCAACAGTGAAGGGAATATTAAGGACATACACATTGTTTTGTGAACACAATTTGGTGACATTTTACAACATTCAAAATTTGTATAGACATTATTCTCTCACCGCTAGAATAGCACAACCCATGAATGAATTTTTCATAAAGGATATCTGCATCATATCAAAAAAGTTAAACGCCTCGTTATTCTTCTTTAATTCAAAATATGATTCAGAAAGGCCCCCAGTCAGATCTTCTAAGGCTTCTGAAACAAGGCCACCTTCGATGTTTGCATACGATATATACAACCTGGTGAAATAAAATGTGAAAAAACAAGAAACTTATCGGGTGAATATTTTTACTTTGCATATGCTTTTTCTAAAAGAGCTGTCCAGAATACATTGGAGTCTTTTGCTTTCACATAAATGAGCTCTCCATCGTATGTGGGAAGTTTATCATCTACCACAATGTCTATCCAGCGCCCATATTGCCAAAATCTGTGAATCAAACAGATTTGTGCATAAAACAATTGAGTTTCAATAAACTTTTGAATGTTCACCTGAAATGGAAAATACCAGCATAGTCATCATGATCAAAACTTTGATCGCCTGGTACAATGAATTGCATGAGCTCTGAATTCAAAGTAACATTTGCTAATGCTGCTAAAAACCAGCAGTCACCTAGAGTTCCTTGATTCACATCGAATCTATCCTCATTCTGACCAATAAATAATGGACTATTTGTAATTTCCTTGAAAAATATCATAGTAAACGATATTATCTTCATCATATATATATATAATATATATATATATATATATATATAGGTGTAAACGGTATATTGTTGAGCCCGTCATATGAACGGGGCGCTCTTGAGCCCGCCCTTTCCTGTGTAGTTAGAAGAGTATATATCAGGACAATTATATCTTCTCATCTTTGTCTCTCATGGGACACTTAGAGGGGAAAGGATTTCAAACATTTAAATATTTTTATATATTTTTCGCACGTTGTTGAGCCATTTATACTTTCACTACGTAGTGGAGCCCAATTATATACGAATTTATATGAACCGTTCCTAGTGTGTCCCGACAGTGTTGCCATGTTTTGTTGATATTAATACATATGAGTATTATATAAACCGTACTCTAATGAGCCTCAGAGGTAAAATCATGGTCGCAATGATAGGACAGGAATTGCGGAAATGGAAATACGTGAGTTGATATTGTATATTATTTTGCTAGCATAATCTTCGGATATATTTTTTTCAATTCTAGAGTTGAGTAGAAGATGGAATTGAAGATCAAGTTGGTGTCCGTATGCAACTGGTTGGAAATATGTAGTGAGAATTAATTAGTTAGGTAAATGATGTATACTTTCAGGGTTGACCCCTGCTTATCAACAATACATATCTAATCAACGGCTCATTTCATCAACACCCTACTCATCAACGACTCAACTTATCAAGGACCTAACTCATCAACACACCCATTTAATCAGCACCCACCTCGTCAACAATCCATTTCATCAACTTCCTATAACTTGAACTAAATAACGAACCACACTCATTGACCCAACTGACCAGCTCAACCGTTTCTTCACATCCAACAACCTGATAACGTTCAAAGTGATACCCCATTTTTATATCAAATTTAATAACCATCTAACAATTACATCAGATCATTCACAGCCAAAAATTCTTACCTACAATTTCCGTTTGTTTTGTAAGTGTCTCAATATTCAAAAGGTATAGAGGAGACTCCAGACTGATTTATGTGATATTCGTCAAAAAATTTACGTTAATACTGATTTAAAAGGATAACAGTGGTACGCAGACGGTGTGGAAGATAATAAATCAATAATAATTGGCTTCAGAAAATCTTCGAGTAAACCAAGGAAAAAAGATGAACATGAAAAGTGAAAAATAGTTCTGCCACCTTAACCCATATAATTGGGCCGTTGATAGTTTGATACTCTGATGAGTTAGGTGTTGATGAGTTGGATAAGTTTTGTCAGTTGATGAGTTGAGTGAGTTGGGGTCGATGATGAGGTAGATCGTTGATGAACTGCGTCTTTCATGAGTTCAGTCGTTGATGAGTTTGGTCATTGATGAGTTGACCGTTGATGAGTTTTGTCGGTTGATGAGTGAGGTGAATCGTTCATGAAACGGGTCGTTGACTAGTTGGGTCGTTGATAAGTAGAGTCCTTATTTCGAAAGAGCGAGATGAGTTGAGTCATTGATGAGTTAACCGTTGATAAAATGAGTCTTTGATGAGCTAGATTGTTGATGAGTTGACCGTGGATAAATTGAAACATTGATGGATTGAATTGTTGTTGAGTTGGGTCGTTGATGAGTTGACCGTTGATACTTTGAGTCGTTGATCAGTTGACCGTTGATCAAATGAGTCGTTGATGAGTAAGGTCTTTGATGATTTGACTCGTTGATGAGTCGAACGTCAATAAAATGAGTAATTTATAAGTTATGTCATTAATTATTCGACTTTTTGAGGAGCTGGCCCTATAGTGAGTTGACCGTTGAACAGTTGAGATGAGTTTATCTGGAGGATCGTTATCAGTTGATGAGTTGGGTGTTGATGAGTTGGTCTGTTGATGATTTGGGTCGATTGATTGTTAGGTCATTGATGAAGTGGATCGTCGATGAGTTGTGTTGTTGATGAATTGGCCGTTGATGCGTTGAGTCTTTGATGTGTTGATCGTCAAGTCGTTGATGAATTGAATCATTGATGAGTTATATTGTTGATTAGTTGGGTGGTTAGTTAATTGCGTCATTGATGAAATATGTCATTGATGATTTGAATTGTTGACGATTTCTTTGTTGATCATTTCAGTCGATGATGAGTTGAATCGTTAATGGGTTGACCGTTGATGAGTTATATCGTTGATGACTGGGATCATAGATGAGTTTTATTGTTGATGTGTTGACCGGTTTTGATTTGTACAGATGATCGCTTGACCGTTGATGAGTTGTGTCATTGATGAATTGGATCGTAGATGAGACGGCTCGTTGATGAGTTGGGTCATTGATTATTTGAGTCGTCGATGATTTGACTCGTTGATTAGTTGAGTCGTTAATGATTTCGCTCGTTCTTGAGTTCGGTCGTTCATGAGGTAGATTGTTCGTGGAACATGTTGCTAATGAGTAGACTCGTTGAGTGTTGATGAATAGATCCATTCATGAGTTAGGTTGGTTGATATGCAGGATCTTTATTGATGAGGTGAAACGTTAATGAGTTTAGTCATTGATGAGTTCACTTTGGTGAATCGATTCGTTGATGCGATGATGGTTCATAAATTAGGTTGATAAATTGGATCATTGATATGTTTGGTCGTTAATGAGCGAACGTTAATGAGTTGGGTCATTGATGGGTTGGTTCGTTGATGACTTTGAGCGTCGATGAATCGAATCATTGAAGAGTTGACCGTTGCAGTGTTGAGTCATTGTTAAGTTGGGACGCTGATGATTCGATACGTTGCCCAGGCAACCATTTGTCTAATGATCATGTCACTGTGACGTCCCTAATTGGTGATTTTTCGCCAGAGACGTCAAAAACTGGTATGACGTCTCTGACGAAAAATCACCAATTAGGGACGTCACAGTGACATGATCATTCGTCATATGGTTGCCTGGGCAACGTATCGAATCATCAGCGTCCCAACTCATCGATGATCCAACACTTCAACTACTTTCTATGACGTGAGAAATACGTCATCATCTCGTCGTCTAGGGAACGACAATTAGAAAGGTGAAATGAGACGTCAGTTTCATGACGTACCTATGTATACAAGATGGCTATTTTCAGTGGCGTTAAGCTTTCAGTCTTTTAGAAAAAATAAATTTTTTATCAATTTACACTGATATATAGAAACTTGTTCGTCTTGGTAATTTTATAGATATATAGATATAAGTATAACTCATCAAAACATGCAAGTTTCATTAGAATTATATATATATCCGAAAAGTAAACTATATAATAATTATGTTTATATTCAGAATTTAAAATAGGTGTACCTTTATTGAAACCGTCACTTCAATGACTTTGCAGTGACGTATCTATGACGTCTGAAAATCACGTCGATGTGACGTACCGATTTGGTGAGCTCCGTCATTCAGAAATTTTTTTAGTAATTTGCTATTCAGATTTTTGTTGCGTGACAAATAATTTATGAATATACGTTACTCAACAAAGTGAAGCTAGATTCGCCAACATCGTTTTCATTGCTTATCAAACTATTTTTGGTTTGCTTACATCTCGCCGACACAAACTACATAATTTGTTATACAAATTCGAGTAACTGATTTCATTCTGATGGTACTGAGAGATAGCGCTGCTGAATAGACGATTGAATGGACATGACACCTGAGGGACCACCAAGCAGACTCAACAATGCATAATAAATATTATATGTCATCAGAGGTCAGTGGTGATTATCACACCATGTTCGAGGAAACTTTTTTATGTGTCATCACCAAATTTAAACGTCATTCTGACGTCATTTTGACGCTAGCATGACGTCACAGTTTGGTGAGTGAATGACGTCAATAAACGTGAGTAATATGACGTCATTGGGCTGTGACTGACGTAAAAAGGAGTCTCTGAAACGTCATCTGGTTGCCTGGATGGTGAATTGAGTATACATGAGTTGTTTCGTTGATGAGTTAGCTTGGTTGATTAGTTAGGTCGTCGATGAGGTGAATCGATGAGTTGAGTCGTTGATGAGTTGATTGTTGATGGGTTGAGTCGTTAATGTCTTGATCGTTGATAAGTTAGGTAGTTGATGATTTGACTCGTTGATAAGATGGATTGTTAAATAGGTGGGTCGTTAATGTGTTGATCGATAATATGTGTTTGGTCGTTGATGAATCGGATCATTGATGAGTTGGGCCGTTGATTAGTTTGGTCCTTAACGATTCGACTCGTTGATAAGTTGTGTCGTTGGAGATTTGACTCGTTGATGGGTATTTCGTTGATGAATCTGGCCGTTTACGACTTGGGTCGTTAATCAGTAGTATTATTGATGAGTTGACCGTTGATTAGTTGGGTTATTGATAAGTTGGTTTTTTTAGGAGTTAGGTTGGTTGAAAAGTTAGGTCGCTGATGAGGTGAATCGTTGATGAGTTTGGCTACAGATCCAATTATCATCATATTAAGATCTACAACCTTTGCTTCTTGCGAGATTACATGATCTATGCATACTCATAATCTTATTCCAGAACGTTACTCAATATTTATTGATACGATTTGCAAGTGAAAAAAAAAGAAGATGAATGGAACTACTCACATTCGAAAAGTACACTTCAATCATTCTAGGACTAGATTTGTCTCTTTTTAGCTATACCAACAGACAATGCTCTGCTATTCATGCACTGATAATCAAGCCAAGAATGAATCTGTCTCTTTGTAGCATGAGGCCTCGAATATTTTCCTGAAGCATCATACTACCTGTATTATGATCTGATATGTATTCAATTTGCAGTGCTTATTGTAGGGAATGAGCTTATTGGAAAAAACTCCGATATAAATTGTAAAAAAACACAGGAACTTAAGTATTCCAACCCTGTCAAGTGTTTTAACAACTCAGGTATTACCTGATATCGAACTCGTCAACAATAGAATTTTCTTCCTGCAATCATGAAACAGATTGATTATCCGCTCGAGATTTCTTATCGTTTTGTCAAATATCAAAACGAAATGGAGTTGTACTGGGTGAACGACTAAGAACGGCTGTCGGCTATATATCAGCAACGAATAATGATAAAAGTTTGAGATAGAATAAATCGAATGGTATGCATATCATTACACGATGTAATAGAGAAACTGAATCTCAAACAGACCAACGGAAACCGCAACATGATAGCTTTTCCCCAACGGAAGATATCAACTATCAAAGTTGGAAGAATGATAGAAATGACAGCCGTTTTCAGTTGTTTATCGGGTACATAATGGACAGGACACTTTTCTTAAGACTCTTACGTGCTAGTATCGAGTTCTTATTTCACATCATCATCATGATGCAGAAGTCTCAGGTCAAATTGTGTATCCTCAATACTAATAATTGCGACGTTGCCAAATTTAGGGCTCAACAACGATACAATCATATGTGGGCTCAACAACGTTTATACAAATCTGAAGTGTATATCCCTATATACAAAAAAGCGCCCTCTACAGGCCGATCCCCGAAGTTTTTGCTGTATGTCGGTTATATTATCGGTATATTGTGGAGCCCGACCAAAAATGCGGGAAATGGCATTTCAAACAATTCTGACCACTCAGTGAAGAGATACAGGGCGATACGTTGTTGAGCCCGAAACCGGGCTCAACAACGTTTCTTCGGGCTCCACTACGTAGCGTTCATATGCTAATCGGGCTCAACAATGACCGTTTAGTTATCTATATATATATATATAAACCTACCGTTGGTCTCAACCATTCGATTTTAATTTTTGCTTGCTCGATGTTTTCAGCCATTCGAACCTTTTCTGGGTCAAACTGAGAATCTTCGAATAAAACACCATTTTCAATGCAGTGTTTCTTCAGTTTTTCATAATTTTGAAGTGGTCCTCTTGGTTTCAGACCAGAATGTTTCTCGCCAAGCTTCAAAAACATGCATTTCATTTACTTGTTCCAGATTTTTTTTTCGGAAAGTCGCTTTTTGAAACCGTTTAAAAATATTCTCACCATATAAATGCGACCCATCTGCTTTTCTCCATCACTAATACCTCTTTTGTCAGACATGTTTCGCACGTTTCAAAGTAATTGTCTTCAATGTTAACCCTGGCAATCACACTGATATTGTGATATTTTAGCTAAATAGCACATTTTTATTTGGTCCTATCTAATCTACTTGAACGGAATAAACTTTCATTATCTATTGGTGTTGTGATAGGTAATCAGAAGATATAATCTCATAATGAATATTTCAATTGATTACCGGGAATTAGTTTTCAAATCATTTTCATAAATCATTTTTTTACTCTGGCAATTTGTTCATTTCGTTATCAATTAATAATTGTTTTCGTATAGGTAGAACATTTTATTCGATTCGAGGCATTTTCAATAATATTACTAATTTCTGATATAACGCAGATGTGGCAAAATAATGTTTGGCCGCGAATACATATTACCCATGACCCATGGTATACAATGAATCAATGGTCATTGGGTCATTTTGTAATTTCCAGTACCTATTTGTTAATATTATATTCTGAAATGATATTCTTGACAATGTTTAAGTAGACTTATCATTCGCTCATATATATAGATCATGTATATTCGATGGTGTTGGGGTGTTACCTACCTGGATGATGCCGTTGATTGTGACTGATGGTCTTTTCATTTCCAAGTAAGTGGGTACTTACATTACCTGCTGACTTTTGAATTATCATTATGTCTGTGAGCTGAGCTGTTTTAAATTTCACAATCTTAAAATTGTTGGAAAATGGAAAGGTATAATAATCTTACTAATCAGTAAAATGGAGTACCTTCATATAATGGTAAATAAATATTTATATTCGATAACATATTAGACCTATAATTTGAACAAGATTGGTAAATGTGTGCTTATATGACTCGAATAACACTTTTTGGTGAATATTGAAAAATAGAGTATATAGTAAGATTCAATGAAAAGTATGAAGATATTTATGTAATATCGGAAAAATATTTGTGTGTTTACAGTGATGATTGATTTTCAAGTATATAAAGTATTTTCCAACCATTCCTCCATGGAGAAAGTTGCAGTGTTCGATTTTTCAGGATCCTTATTTTCATCAAAAATATCTAAAAAAAAGAAAATGTTTGAAAACGAATATTCTCAGATATATTATGAACAAGAAAAAATGAATATATGAAGAAATACAGTGAGAAGATATGTTGTTACAGAGGCAGAGCCATTGTTTGTGCTGTATTTTACGTACCCAACATCGTTTTCAATTTGATGGAGCACAACATAAAGTCATCAAAGTTGATTTGACCAAGTTTGTTTCCATATCGGTGCATGAGAACAGATAAAACTCTATTGTTCAGTCTATATCCAGCCGAATTCAAAGCTTCTCTTAGTTCAAATCCACTGAAAGTCCCTGATTTGTCAGTATCATACACCATCCACACGTTCTACAAATAATGAATGATATAACTAGGTATATAGTTTTACTGCTGGATACATAATAAATGCTAGCTGAAGCTACCTTCCACTTTATTATAGATATCCACAAATTTTTGAATTCTTTGTAACCTAGTTTTCCAGACCGATCAGAATCCAACATGGCGACCATACTTCTGCAAATGTCTTTTGAAAAGCCCCCAAACTTCAGCTCTAAAACAAAAATATTTCATATATGAGTTCATAAGAAATCATAAATAGATTATTAGAAAACATAGATTCTGTTTTATTGATGTCAAAGTAGGTGGGTATCAGGGAACTGTTATTATGGTATTAGCCTCACTTCAATGATCAATATATGTGCCTATTCCAGCCTGAAAATCATCGTAGTTGTGAAAATTTTGGAAAATATTCTTAAAATTGTAACTCATAAAAAAGTAAATAAAGTTTTATACACAAGCATATTTTTGATTATAAGATGCAAATTATCGTGCAATTGACGAAACATTAGATTGGCTGCATGCATACATCATACATTCAGGTGCAACGTATAGTATAAGAGTGAGAGTAATCCTTTTTTGCATGCTGACCTACCAGAAAATATTGAGTTTAATGGACTATTTTGGTTTGGTGCTGGAATGTATTCAGCCAACGGAGAATCTTTGCATACAGCTCCGCATATGAGGCTCAACAGAGAAGTTAGAAAACTGTTATTGTTTCCATCTTCAGTGTTTGTCGGGGGCACAGCAGATAGTGGGCTGACGGCAGTCTTTTGGCCCTTTTTGGTGTCTGGCTTCTTCTGCTGTAGTTCTTTCCCATCACAAAATAATGAATGTGTTAAAATAAAGAATGTGTTTTAAATGGTATTGATTAAAAACACATTAATATTGTCATTTTGGAATATTGCACCCTTAACAAATTAATACAGTACGCCAACGTTCTTTGTTTAGTCAACAATCACGGTTACCTTGACAACTGTTGTTTGTCAACAATTCGTAAATATATGGAATGAGAAATGAACACTGAAAAAAGTTGAAAAAATATTCCAGTTTGAAGAAAAAATAATAGTAATGAGGTGATTTCGTGAAAAGACAATAATAATTCAACCCTTGAGCTATGAGGTCTATACCAAAATGGGTTGACAAAGTTCAAGATAGTGAAAAACAAGGACAAAGGTAAAAAAGTACACTTGCTAGGCCCTAAAATTTCAAATGAACATTCATATTTTTTCAGCATTTATGATCTCTGTTTCAACCCTGAGGGTACCCAACTGATAGTAGCAGGTGGAAACCACGTTTTAGTTTACAACACCAATGATGGTAGTCTCATACAACTCCTGAAAGGCCACAAAGACAAAGTACACTCAGTATGTTATGCGAAAAATGGAGAAAAGTTTGCCAGCGGGAGTGCAGACAAAAACGTGATAATTTGGTCCAATAAGCTAGAGGGTTTGCTCAAATACAGCCATGGTGATTCAGTTCAGTGCCTTGCATTCAATCCCCTGTCTCATCAACTAGCTTCCTGTGCCTTATCAGACTTTGCTTTCTGGAGTACAGAGCAAAAAGCAGTTCAGAAGCATAAGATAAATGTGAGAATAAACTCTTGTTCTTGGACCAATGATGGCCAATATTTAGCTCTAGGTTTAAACAATGGAGTCATATCAATTAGGAATAAGTTAGGGGAAGAAAAAGGCAAAATAGAAAGACCCAATGGTCCTTCCATATGGGCACTAAACTGGAATACAAATAAAGAAGACCAAACTGACACACTTTGTGTAACAGACTGGGGCAAAACTCTGTCATTTTATACCTTGGGTGGTAAAATGATTGGGAAAGAAAGAAACATAGGTTATGAGGCTCTCAGAGTTAGATACTTTCCCCATGGGGATTTCATACTGACTGGAGGATTGAATATGGCTTGTACTATGTATACGAAGGATGGCATCAAATTAGGTGTCATTGGGGATATTCAAAACTCCTGGGTGTGGTGTTGTGAAGCTCATCCAAATGGAAATTTTGTAGTAAGTGTTTGTATCCAATTACCTGAATGTATTATGGCAAATAAAATTTGTGAGTGGAAATTTTGGGGTAGGTGTGTTTGTATTCAATTACCTGAATGTATTATAGCAAATAAAACTTGTAATTTGCAATTTATTTAAGGCTGTGGGGTGTGAAGATGGGACTATAGCATACTATCAACTTGTATTCAGTATGGTACATGGGCTCTACAGAGAAAGATATGCTTATAGGGAGAACATGACAGATATCATAATACAACATTTGATAACTGAACAAAAAGTCAGGATCAAGTGCAGAGATCTCATTAAAAAAATCGCCATTTACACTGATAGATTAGCAGTAAGTAGGTACTTTTGTTTCATTTCAATGTAATGCAAAAGAATGATGATGGTTGGTTCTTCAATAAGACTTGCACTAAGTAACAAAATAATTGCAGTCTATTTAATGGCATGAAAAAAAAAAGAAATTAATGAAATTAAATGTTCTTTATTTCAAATCTCAACAAATGTTTATAGTTACCACTTTTTTAAACCATTGTTCTGAAGTATTCAATAATAGCTGTGAAGTAATCAATAATTTCTTTCATGTATCAATAAAAAAAAGATAATATCAAGATAATATATTATTGGAAATGTTATCAGAGGAAAAAGATTAGATAAGCCAGATTTGTTGACTTTTTTAGAATGTCTGATTGCAAATTGTTTGCAAGATAACTAAATATCACCACTCCAATACTAACTTTGTTTTTTATTTATTCATGACTCACATGATTAAATGAAATATAAGGTATATACAGTAAGGTTGCTTGGGTTTATTCCATCCACCAAATGTTGAATTCTCAAACGCCTTTTTTTTCCTATTTTAACAAAAATATTTTGTGTTTAGTGGATTGATGTGGTCTTAATTGATGATATTCCATAGGTTCAACTTCCTGAAAGAGTTGTTATCTATGAACTCTATTCCAAAGATGCCAATGACATGCATTATAGGGCTAAAGAAAAAATAACACAAACACTGGACTGCAACCTATTAGTTGTATGTTCAGAACATATCGTCATTTGTCAGGAGAAAACCTTGCAGAGCATGTTTTTTGCTGGGGAAAAGGAAAAAGAGTGGAACTTTGACAGCCCCATTAGGTATATCAAAAATATCGGAGGACCGCCTGGGAAAGAAGGTTTGCTTTTAGGACTCAAAAATGGTCAAGTTTGGGAAGTGCATTTGGATAATATTCATCCCCTACTGAAGGTAAAATTTGACAAAAAATATTCAATAATAACAGTAAAAAATTTTGTTTTGCCTATGAAACTACCAATCTATTCATTCCATTTCCTCTTCATCCTTTTCAGAAACTTGTTCATTTCAAATAACTTATTTTATCTTGGTTTCATCTCTATATATATAAACATGCACAGAGATGGGCAGATTTTTTATACCTAATTATTTGGTGATCAATGAAATCAGGAAGAAAATATCTTTATCTCCAAGCTGCAGGGAGAGTGGCTTTTCTCTGATACTTAACGGGCAGAAAAAAATTATATGTTTCACACGGCAGGAAATTCAGAATGACTTCCTTGGCTGCCTTGCCGGTTGATTTTGAATAGTCCAGCTATTGAATAAGGAGACCTTCTAATAATTTTACCCTACTTAAGGCCATGTATGCTTGACCATCAGCAGCAAAGAGCACTATTCCGCCATCTTGGATGGTCCGCCATATTGGATTTAGAATGACGTCACATTATTTTTCGAGTTGCTCTCAACTAGCCCTTTCATTTGATACCCATATTGTAGAAGTAGTTTAAAGATCACTATTCCGCCATCTTGGATGCTCCGCCATATTGGATTTAGAATGACGTCACATTATTTCCCGAGTTACTCTCAACAAGTCCTTTCATTTGATACCCATATTGTAGAAGTGCATTAAAAATACCTATTCCGCCATCTTGGATCGTCCGCCATATTGGATTTAGAATGACGTCAAATTATTTCTCGAGTTGCTCTCAATGAGCCTTTTCATTTGATACCTATATTGTAGAAGTGCATTAAAAATAACTATTCCGCCATCTGGGATGGTCCGCCATATTGGATTTAGAATAAAGTCACCTTATCGTGCATTGTCATTAAAACTAAACGTGTATACAAAATTTCAGCTCAGTCGGTTGAAGGTATCCACTTCAAAATTGAGTTCAAATATTCCATACGGACAAACATACATTCATTTTGAAAATTATGTAACCAACTCCTATATTGAAAGACGATCGATGTTTGAAATATCTCGATCATTAATGGCCCTTATTACTACAGTAGTTGGTTAAATAACTATAAATTCAATACATTAATAATTGGTTTCAGATTTATACCAGTTTTTGGTTTGGCCAATGGTTCTTTGAATTGAATTAATTGCTCAGCCTTACTGAATTCAATTTGTTTTGAATGATTCACCTATTGATTTATTCAAAAGGAATATTTTGTTTAGGTAGCTGATATAGTTTTTCTTGAAAAAGTTTTATTAGGTATATGTAATACTGTGTAGTTGAATGTTGCTGTCCAGTGGCGAATTCAGGAAGAGGAGCGAAGGAGGTCTCATCCCTTCAATATATTTGTAGTAAGGACAAATCAGGTTGTCAAAAAATGGCACTGTGTTGAAAACATTTCACTTGCAGAAATCTGAAAAAGTAATCTCAGATACTAACTCTCTGGATAGAAATGAACATCAGTGACATCTTGTGTGTCGTTACTACAAATATAGTAGAATAATAATAATAATAATATTTTCATTCAAAGAAACGAGATAGAAAATCCTAAATTCCCAAAACATATCGAGAAAATATTCACCTACTCGGTTGACATACAGACACTATATAAAATACTTATTGCTTGCTCTTGATATAATTTTCATTTTGAGATCATTTTACATATCAATTGAAACAAAATGAGAACATGAAACTGAATAATATATAATTCAATCATGTAATGAAGTCATTGCCAATCCTTGTATTGGTTCGAAATGAGCTGATCGAAAAAAGTGAAGGATATTGTGTTTTTGCGATGAATCGAAATTCAGGTTGCACTATAAACTGTTGTAGGTCGCGATCTTCCTAACCTCGCACAAGTTTCGACTTCTAGGGAGTTGATTCCTAACTTAGAAGCAGCAAATTTAACGAGAACAAAAATTTTCGTTCAAAAATATCCTTAGATTTTTTCGATCAGATTAATTTGGGTTGAACTGGAATCTTCTCGTGTACAAGGTGACTTCCAACGATGGCATCAGGTGTCTGGATTTGAGTCAAAGAAAAGAAAAGTTAGCAGTAGTGGACGACACAGGCCTCTGTCAAATATTCAATGCCAGAACGGAAGAATTGTTCTTTCAAGAGATGAACGCCAACAGTGTGGCTTTCAACAATCTCTACGAAGACATGCTCGCTTTCAGCGGCAACAGCAATTTGTCGATAAAAGTTATGGATTTTCCTGCGCATGTGCAGAAATTGAACGGATTCGTGGTGGGCCTGACGGGATCTAAGGTAATACAAAAAACGAATACCATGATATCCTGAATGACACCATTTGTTCTAGCTCGATCACTTTTGTGTCATTACTCATTTTATGAAAAATTTAAAAAAATATATCAACAAATTTTGCAGCTGCTTTCATACAAAAAACACAAATCGATTAATTCCCATAAAATACAGGTTGTAAAAAATTTGCAGTTTTGCACTCAATGTGTTGAGCACTGTATACCGGGTGTCAGATTTTCAAAATGTTATGTCTACTTCATTTTTTTAAAGTAACTTAATATTGCATCAGAATATAACAATCGCGAAGTTTTTGTGACTAATGGTAGGAATGATAAAACTTGTCAAAATTACATTTTCGTGTCGACTACTATTTTCAAAAAAGCCGGACAGTTTTTGACAAACCCTTTCTGAAAAAAAGTTTTTGACGAATGTAAGGATACCAATTCATTTGTGATTGAATTAAAAAGAAGAACGAATAGAATATTACTAAGAAAAATACTGGACAATAATTCATTTACTTTTTACAAGTGTGCCATGGATAGCCTGATGCATAATATTTCTTAGTTATTTTCATCAAGTCTTCTTTGGAAAACCAATCACTCACTTGGATAATATGACAGTGACATTTAAGCTACATGAGCAAAAATTGAGGATTTCTTTACTTTTGAAACTGTCACTTTCTGATCCAGAAATGTCAAAGAAATAAAAAAATCTTACAAGTACGGGACGTTCTAATTGAAAATTCGAAAACGAAGCCGTTTCCGGTAAAACCCATAACAAATCTTATATTGTTACACCTAAAAAATTTCAGAACTTATGACTTGTCTAATAGATTCGTTGACACCCGGTATATAGTGCGTTCTATTGAAGAAAATGGAGAAAACAAATTTCTGTGAAATATAAAATAAGGGGATTGCTACTTTTTAACGTTTCACCTGGTACATAGCCCAGCAATTTCATACAGTGAGGACCAAAAGTCCGTCGCCCCCCGTTATTTCTTTTTCTACATATATCACAAAAAAAAAATTGAAAGCTTTCAAAGAGTCAGGATAGCAAAGTGAAATATACAGTGTGTCCCACTTACCATGCTCACCATGGGTATCTTCTTAACGGTGAGAGATACGAGGTTGGTTAAATGACACTAAATGTTGAGTTTGTCAAGGCCAACTATAATGTGAAGAAATATTTTGATAAAATCTATTCGTTTCTGTAATCAAATGTTGCAAGTGAATTTTGACTCACTTCTGGCCGTCCTATCAACTTGAAATTTGGCAGATGTTCGTAAATCCAGTGACAATACATTACGGAATTTTTGTT